TGCTACATTTGTTATACCGCTTTGTAATTTATTATATATTTACAAGTTGGTGTCTTTCCTACTGCTTTCAAGAAGGCTAATGTGATTCCTGTGTACAAAAAAGGAGATAAACATATTTTTAATACTTATAGACCGATATCAATTTTTATCTACTTTAATTCTCAAAAATCTTTGAAAAACTAGTTTATAGTCGTCTTTGTTCCATCTTATGTAAAAGAGATATATTATACCATAAACATCATGGCCCGTATTCTAAACTCAGAATTAGTTAAGCCCAGGTTTAACTTTAAACCGGGTTTAATTAAGCCAGACTTCAGGTCTAAGTATCATTTCAGTTTCTGAAAGCCAGGTTTATTTAAACCTGAGTTTAAGTCTAGTCTAAACTTAAACCCAGATTTAAAGTTAAGCCAAGGTTTAACTACCATGGAGATGTAGTCTGCTTCTACTGCACATGCTCAGTACAGCTCAGCCATCTTCAAGGGTAGCTGATATAGGCTTTTTTATAGCTGGATTTCGTGCTGCAAATTTAATAATTTCAATTCAAAATATTCGACACAAACAAATCTCTTGCGCTTATCATTCGATCGTGCGCGCATTTATTCGTAAACACGGATAATAAAACGTATTGCATTGTCCTTTAAAAAAAAAAAACGCTTAAAATTCGACCATATGACCTTCAATCTTGACTTTGGACTAGTTAATCTGCATTAAGAAGGTACTTGTGATCATTTCTCTTTTAGTCATTTTAATCTTATTTAGGTCTAGATCTAGACATCTAAATCTAGTGCATCTTTAGGATGTTCTGGATGTTTGGACATCATAATAATTATAATAGAATAGGCGCGCCTAATCATAGTCATAGGCCTAGGGTCTAGACTAGATCTAGGGCAGATATTGTAGAATAAAGATATAGATTCTACCCAAAACTCTAGTAGGTCTAGAGTTCCGGCTTAATACGCTCGTTGGCTCTTAATTACACTAATCCAAAATTGTCTTATAAATATAGATTGAGCTCTACGTTTATTTACTCTTAAGTCTAATCCAACCTTACAATTTTATTTTAACTCGCATTTGTTAACATCGTTGGGACGCAATTCGAAAATGTGTATTGCACACACAGTTTCAAAACTATGTGAGCATAACGTCGAACTAACGGTACGGAACTACTATATTTGTTTTCCTCTGCAACAAAGTGATACGTGTTGATTTACTTTGGCAACTTTTTGTTTGTTTAGTGTTGGAGTCAGCTAGCTAGCTATCAAGTGCAAATCGCTGTTTGTTTGGTATTTAAAAACGACAACGATGCAAACAAAATCATCGTCGCCATGATTGTGAAAGGTTTTTTTTCCACAAGAGGTCTCTCCGTCTCATTATTTGCAATAATTCGTCGTAATGCCTTTTAATGGTGTCTTCTTCTTCTTCTCTGAATATCCAACAACTGACTTAAGCCAGACTTAAACTAAGTGTACCCCAGGTTTAAATATGTTTACAATTTCCACAGAGTTAGACCAGGATTAAACCTAGGATTAAGTTAAACCTGACTTCATAAACGCAATGTTAAACCTAAGTTTAAATCTGAGAGTTATGCGAGACTTAGAATATACAAGATAATACAAATAAATAATATCAATGGTAAATTCTACAACTTTTTTAGAAGTAAGAATTGAGAACAGACTGACTTGGAAAGAAAATGTACATTATGTATCATGTCAAATATCTAAAGTATTTGGTGCAATGAACAGAATTAAACAAATTGTACCATTTAATATTCTTCTTTATCTGTATAATACCATGATTCTTATTTACCGTAATATAGTGTGGGAAGATAGAGAGCTGAAACTCATTAAAAATCGATTTTTTTTTTTTTTTCTTCAGAAAGGTGCTATACGAATTTTATTTAACTTACATCCTTTCTCCCACACTGCTCCTGCAAAGTTTTGGGAAATTTTGAAAATTGGATGGATAGTAATTCTTTAACATTTTGATATATTTGGATGCCCCTGTGAATGTATTATAAGCACTAAAAAATTATTCCCCTGTAGCACTCCTACTTTCGAGAAATTGAATAGTCTAAAATTTAAGGGTTCACGGTTAATTTTAAATATTTCAAATTGCGTCTAAGGCCATTCCATGGTAGTTGCGACCATGAAAATCTCAGATTATGCAGTTCTGATTTATAATTTCCAAACGGGAATAGCAAATCGGTCGATTGTAGTCCAGAAACATTGTTTTAAAGCTAAAGTAATATCAGTCTTGAGAGGGTGTTATGCAACATAAAGAGTTCATTATTTACAATTTCATCTCTTTAGACTCGATTTCAACCGCGACAACGATCCTTAAATATTGTACAATCGCATATGCTTCCAATATGTTCATTTGAACCAAATTCATGACCCCATATCAAAACTTTGTATTACCTTTAAATGTATCGAAGATTGTATATCATGGATTAAATGACAGGACATTAAAACATGCGAAAATAAGCGAATTATCCTAAAATATTGAGTTTCTGTCAAGATCAATTTTTCTTTTACCATATCTTGCGCACAAATTATAGAAAGGGCGGACTAGTAAATTTTTTTTTTTTTTTTTTGATGCACTATTCCCAATACAATTCCCTATCAAGTTTATAATTTACACTGAAATTTTGCCGATCATTTAATAAATGTGAAATTGGTGCCTGACCTCCGAAATTCCCCGCAGTTAAAGAACAGCTCGGAGCATGGAATCTCAAAGCCAAGTTATACATTACGCATCCCCTTCTTACGCTTTAGAACCCACGCATGCAATGAATAAATTACAACAGTTCCCACTCCTTCCCTATCACCTCCCTGGTTCAACATGCTTTTCAAGTACAATGACTGATAAAAATGACTATAAATAGGTCTCCATTTTTACTAACGTGTCTACCTTTTATTCCGGATCCGAAATACGAACACCAAGGAAGAATATTCTAGATGGACAACGTGCATTCGAGTCCAACGAAATGGTTTATGTAAAATGCTGTCGGATTATGGTGTTTGATATAAACATGATAAATGTACAATAATCGCATTTCTCGCTTCGACGAACAGTGTACTATTCAGTTTCGTTGACTAATCACGCACATGGGCCAATTTTATAGGTCTGGGTTGTAGCGGCTCTTACATTCGCCCTACTTTTATCGTACATTCATGTTTACAGTTATTTTCCATCACACTACTTATTTATAAATTATTCGGACCAAGTGAGTTTTTCGTTCCAATCGCGCATCGTGGTTCCGCACTCTTCACCCCGTGTATTTTCAACGCCACGAGGTTTTACTTCAAGACGTCTCTATGATTTCCTCTCTGAGTTTATTCTTCCGTGCCTATCACCTCTCTTACGACACGTCTACTCTTTCTCTGCCGTCTCCATCGGGCTCCCAGTTGGAACGTTATAATCAGGACCAACATGACGCCTGATTCTCCGCTGGGAGCTGCCGGTCACTTCGTTTCGGTAGTCTCTACACCAACACGAGCTCAATTCACCGTAGCTCAGCTAAACATCCACCATCAAAGTTCGGCGCATCAAACGAGCTATAATCTCTGCTCAGCACCAGTGCCGGCTTTGATGTCTGCATTTTCTACCTTGGCCTCCGACATCAAACGACTCACTGTTTCATCGTCGAGCTCCACTTTCTTCTCTTCTCTTCTCGCCTGAGAGCTTCTTCATCATCTTTATCATGAGCGTCAGCGTTGAGATCCTTCCCGGCTCTTCAGCCACGACTACGAAGCTGCATCTCCGCCTTCAAGCCTCCGCACATTCATCGCGTGAGCCCCTTCCTTCGTTCTTCACATCTCTTCACCATCATAGGACTTTCGACGTCATTTCATCTATGTCTTAAGCTCTATTTATGTCATTACATCTTTTTATGTCCATCTCATTATATGACCATTCAATGTATCTACGTGCAATATTCACATTTACCATTTATGCATTTATATTCCGAGTCATCGGCATGTGCTTGGCTACACTTTGCAAGTGTACGGTCAGCTACATCAGTACCAATAAACATAACGAAAAGGGAATACTTTCTTTCATGTATTTTATTGTCAGTGCAACCTTGTTTCCTCGTAGCTAAAATAAAAAATAAGACTTAATAAATATGTTGTGTGACCAGTGAACACGCTTATACAATATTCATTCACAAAACCCTCACACATCTCTAAAGGATCATATACCTTGGTCGCCAAACTGTATAATTATTCGAATCAACATTGAAATGAAATGCCCGAGATCACCTTCGGCAATTGACGACAATTAAGAATGAATCTTTGCACACGCTTTTAATAGACGAAATGAATTTGAATGATAAAAGTGCAAAATCTCGGGACCGATACTCTTAATTCAGAGAACGAATAAACATTTTTCCAAACGGACTTAAAATAAAGCAGTGAAAATGGCCAGGAAAACCATGGTCCTTATCAATTGTTATTCATTTTTAATTTTGACAGAGCCAGCTATGTCATTGTGTGAGGAGTACGGCTCAGAAGAAACGAGATAATCTTCATTCATCTTCAGACTGCCTCCTGACTTCTTCTTGATCTGCACAAGATAGCATCTGGTGGTCAACGGCAGGAAGGAGAATATACCCGAATATAAACACTCATCTCATTACACTAAGTTAGTTATTAGTACATTGTAGCCGTAGCAATGAAATCAATAATAATTGTTTTGATATTTCTGAGTGACTGCCGATGAGACCGTTGGCTGACAACCTTAACAAGATGATCCCAAGTCCTATCCCGATGGTTTTATCCTGGTTAATCTGATCATTCACATCATTCAAGTTGGTTTATACCAATTAAGAAGTTTAGTCAACCTTGAAACAACTATTGCCTACTGCATCTGGTGATATATGTATTAAACCTATGGAATATATGAATAGGCACTAATCAACTGATTAAATTTCCACATGAATGTACTATTGTTTTTGGATTATGTATTATATTAGTGCATATTGAGATAGGAGATTCACAATGTCGGAATTTGAACGCAAAGTTTCACGCAATTTGCAGTGCCCCATTTGTTTCGAGCTGCTTAGTGACCCGAAGCAGTTATCGTGTACACATACTTTCTGTAAGAAATGCCTTAATTATATTCTTAAAAGTTCTTCACATACTTTTCTAACATGTCCCATCTTTCGAAGAGAAACACCTTTAAAGGGTGGCAATGTCTCGAATCTCAATACTAATGTTCCTCTCAAGTCTCTCATTGATGATGTGAGAAATAGCCAGCAAGTCTGTGAAATGTGCGACTCAAACTCGATAGCTGTATATTTCTGTTGTGAGTGTGGTAAGAACGGGTGTAACACATGCCTTGAGATTCACAACAAATGGCCGACTCATGAAAAGCATATAGTTGTGAGAGTAGAAGACGTCAGAGAAGGAAGGGTAGTCCTCGAAGGAGAGGTTTACTGCCAAGAACACAAAGCAGATAAACAAAAACACCGCTGTACTGATGTGTGTACCACTTGTAAGAAGTTCATCTGCTTGAGATGTAGGTTGCTGAGTCATGAGAATAAAGGTCACACAGTTCAGAATACCGAGGAATACAATGCTTCTACCAAGACACAAATTGTATTTCTACAAGCCCGAGGTAAAACGAAAGTTACAACCATCAAGAATCACGTGACCTGCATCAAGACTCGGAAGAAGCGTGTCACTGATCACTTTGCCGCCAAAAAGGCTGAAATCAACAAGCAGGAAGAGAAAATATGTAACAGATTGGATGAGATGCAAGATGTTGATGAGAGGTTGATTACGATAATTGAGAGTGCGAGTGTGTTAGCGGGTAAAAGCATAAAGGCTCCATTAGAAGGTGATATCATTGTCATTCGTGATACATTGTATGGAGAGCTGAAGAATGTATTAGATAGGGAAGGTCCAGAGAATAAGCTGGCTACGGATGTAGCTGACCGTGCAGAGCAAATAACATTGACACCTAAATGTGATCAGTTGCACATTCATCAGCTGCTGAAGGAAGCAAGCGTTATGGCAATATTCCCAGTCTTTCTGATCGTCGTTTCATGTATACTGTTCACACCTAGCAATCGATCTGATCAGTTGAACATTGGTGAGGTTAGGGTAGTGAAATGTGTGTCTGTATGTGATGTAGAACTCTCTAAGAAAGGCAACATGAATGACATGGCTGCTACACGCGATGGTAGGATGGCAGTGGGATACCACACAGGAGGAATCGATATCTTCTCTGCTGATGGTCAGCTGCAGAAGACAGTCCTCAAGGATGTCGGTATCCGTAGAGTAGGATACCTGTCTGATGGTCGGTATGTCGTACTGAATAGCAGCAATGTTATCATACTGTACACAGAAGAGTCAGAGAAGCTGGATGTACGGTTTGATAATCTGAGTGAAGATGGAGGTGAAACTAGTCTCACTGTAGACAGTAATGATTTGATCTATGTCGGCTACTCGAACCTCACAAAGATCCAGGTATACTCATCAGCAGGTGGGAAGGCGATCAGGGAGATACCATGCAATGGGTATATACCTGGGCAGATCACTATTTATAATGATTTATTGATCCTCGTTTATGGTAGAACAGTAACAATAATTGGTAAAGATGGCAATGTAAAACACAAGGTAAATAATTCAACCGCTAGCGCATATGTTGCTGTGACTCAGAAAAAATCAATCCTGATCGCGTGGGTCAAGCACTATGATGGGTTGGTTAGTATCGATGAGTACACCAACGAGCTCAAATACATCCAGACTCTCATCTCTGATCACAAGATTGAGAAAACTAAGACAAATTGGTTCTTTCTCCGCGAGCTACGATCAGGGGAGATTGCTTTCTGTACTCCTGATAGACTCGATATATTCAAACTATAACCGTCACACCACGCAGTCCATGAATGATAACAGTCCAGGAACAGACGACTACACAATAATGCAATGATTTAAACATGTAACCTAACGTGATGTATTATGAATTTCAATTATTCTCTTAAATACAAAATGCATACTAACATGACTAAATATTTAATTGAATTCGAAATGTATGATAACGTGATGTGACGTGATGTATTCTGACTTTCAATTATTTATAATTATTTTTATGCAAAATATCTTGAAAAACAAAGCGCATAAAAGCATGACTAAAAGTTTAATTTAATTCAAAAATTATTATTTAAATCGCTCAGACTCATGTTTGTGTCCACGTTTTCTTTAATTCGCGTTGAAAGATACGTCACCGAATGAACTTTTCTCATTGATCATCGCGCATTTACGGCAGAGTACCACTGGACTACCCGTGAAATAAATCCAGTCAATTCAAGCAAAAACAGGCACTATTAACACCATATGTCTCACCATGTGAATCACCCGTGTCCTCGAAATTTAACTTTTTTTTCTTTCAATGTCTGATGAAATAAGGTTTACAGAAATATCCACAATGAAAAAACCTACCATGACACAAACAAATACTTTGGTTATCACCTGACGGATACTGAGGTCATTTTACGCAAAATTGAGGGGGAAAACACTTTGAAATACTATCTTTTAATTCAAGATCAATCTTAATTACAGAATCAAAATAGATCGTGGTACCCATATATCACATACAAAGATACATCACAAATAACACAAAATATATATGACCCATACAGGACAATGCAATTGCCAAAGCAGGACGTAACATAAAACATACAGTTTTACCGATTTATTATTTTGTCTGTATGCAAAATGCGAACCACAGCCAGTTCAGGTATCAACAGATAATGTTGACACCTGATAACAACAACAGTACCTGTAAAAAGAGTCCCAAATTGACCAATGTATCTGGTTCGCTCCTACTCAGATTATGTTAATGTGTATCACTAATCTATTACAAAAAAAAACAAAGTAACTAAACATTTCTTACACATATAATATAAGATATTCGTGGAACACACAAGGTTTTAGATTTGATACAGAGAAAAAAATAGAATCATGAATGGGATGGAAATAAATGAGATATAAGCGTTATTTTTCAACTACACATAATCGAGTATGTTTACATTCAGAAAACAAGTTCGCTATACATAACACTATAATTGTAAATATCGTGAAAGCGTGGCATAGAATAATCTGCACTTTGTATAGTTCATAATGCTTACAGTCTTCTGTTAGAAATGGCATTGTTTCAAGTAAGTTTATTCTCACCATTGCATACTTCTACATTTTTATTTTACTTTTACTTTGTAGAAGCTAACGTGAGCTCGAATAGATGTACAGACCTGGATTTGACTTTTGTTAGGTATATATACCCTGTACTTAGACAAGTTTGAGATGATATCATTAGATAATATGTTATACATAATATCACAATGACATAATAATATTTAATGAAGCCATTGGCATGGTTGGCTCAAAATAATAGCACTTGGAAAGGCATTTGTTGTAAAAAAAAAAATGATTGGGTAACTATGAAATCTGTCTTTATTTATTGAGTTCCCATAAAACAAGTGTATTTACTCACATACTGTGAATTGTCTTTTATACTCCTAATTTTCCGTTTTCTTTCTTTCTTTCTTATTTTTAGTTTGTTTCTTTGTTTATTTATTTTCCCTTTTATTTTTTGATAATGATATATTTAATTGAGAAATCTGTAAGAACCTAGTCCTCGACAGGTCTATGACCTCTGTCGGCTCTTCCACTCTGAATCAAATTAGTTTTCTTTCCTTTGTCTCACTTATCAGTTTCTGTACACGTATACGTAAATGTAAATATTAATATGCTTGTGTTCATAATTTGTATTATCAAGTATATTCTGTTATTGTTGTTATCTTTCTTTTATGTGTGGAAGTAAACTTGAAACTGGAATTTTAAATATAATGACTATGAAGGAATGTTTAATGAAAAAACTAGTAATTAGTATTGCAACTGATAATAACTGGCTGCTTTTGTGAAATGTCGCTGTCATGAAGATGAAGTTGTATATTTAATAAATTTATAGGTGGAGACCGTCACATAATGACCTTGTAATCATGTTACTTCATCGTCTTTCAAAGTATGCCTTATACACAAGGTGAAATAGAAACTACTTATGTTTCAATTTTTTTTAAATACATGTATAGGATACACCTATATTGGTAAAGTACCATCTCTGGATTATCATTTCGTTCTGTTACTCAAGTTCTTTGGGAAATTACATGTTTATAGTGTTAAAGAGAAATTATAGGATTTATACGTCAATGGTATTAAGGAGACTCTATTGTGGTTATTCCATAGATGATATTGTTTGCGAAATTTAAACAGTGCACGTTCTGTATATTATATTGATAACTATAAATATATATTTATCATAATTGGAAGAAGCCAAAGAAGTGCACTGTTGTACATTACCGGGTAATCCCAAACTACGAAAGCATACCAAGTTAATTAATGACAATGGATTATCGTAAACCTAAGTTCAACGAAAACGCAATAACTTGGTGTATATATTGATTTAAGATCTTTAAGATTAGTTGAGTTCTGGTCTAACGAATACATTGTCTTTAAAAGGAAAAGTTACTGCATATGTTACATGAATATATCACTTAACAAAACATGTTGGTAATAAAAACATGAACAATCTAACGAAGGATACATATAAACAATGTAAAGAATGAAATAAGTAGTCATATAATTATGTTAGCAAGACGACCAATGGGGATTCATATCAAATTTAAATCAATTATGTAAACACTGTGAAAGATACTGCCATGCCTAGAAGCAAATGGGGAAAGTTCAGTATGTATAACATAAATCTAATTATGTACAATGTGATGTTTTGAATTATCATAATAGAAAGCCTCTGACTAACAGACTACAAATTGATTTCAAAAATCACATCGCTGCCATAGAAATATTGGACTACAAACGAAATTGTCACCCAAACTTTTCAGCTATAAAATTGTCATATTTGGTATGTTAACAGCGATCTCTTTTTAGGAGATAATTCTACTATGATATTCTAACAAATTGACATACAAAGAATGAGGAAACTCAAAAATTATTTTTCGTTTTTACCAGGACTCAGTTTTCTTTTTGTCATTCTTTGATGGACGATGTATACTGTTTCGTAATATGAAGAACAGGCCAAGGAATGTATATGGGAATATATAGTCAAATGTATTACAACTATAACCTAACATGTTTCTGTATATGTATGAACAGGTCATTGGGACAAACTTATCTGACAGGTTCAGTGATTATCTTTATAATGTATTGCGAGCTGACCCGTTTCAAATAAATGTCGTACATGATTTATATCTATGTATAGGGTACTAGGATGACATGAAAAATGCATCAATGTAGAGGTTATCATCCAACATTGTAGAAACTACGATAAAAAATGTTTACTTTTTTCTATACTTGTGTATGTATCAGTCTATATTTTGAGGCAAAAATAAATCGTTTATTTGAAAAGTGGTGAATCCAAAGCAAAATTTGTGTCTCTCTTAATGTAAGAATATTGATATAATATTAAGGAGCTGCTGCTGTCGATGTAATACCAAAGCTCCTCCTACCTCATTGAAAATACTCATTTGTTGCTAGAGTCCGTTTTACAGATGATAGAATGTACAACAAATAACTGCCAGTAATTCTGGTAATGGCGGTGAATGATGGTGATGATGTTTTTTTTTTCTTTTTCGTGCTGTTTTCTGTATATTAATTTGGTTGTTGTTTGTTTGTTGTTTGGTTTTAGTTTTAAAATTTGATTTTTGAAACAGTAACCAATGATGAGAGCTCTTACACAAAATACAGAAGTAAATACCTTGTTTCAGCAATAAATAAAGCAATCAACATGCTTTATTTATAGTCCGATGTTACGTTAATGACAATCAAATGAATGAAAAGAATAAATAGTGGTAATGACAGTGGTGACGTTGATGTTGACGATGATGATAATGATGTAGTATGATTGATTGCCTATAGTTGTGATGTAAAAAAAAGTCGAATGATGATGATGACGAAGATGATGACAATGATGAAGATGATGACGATAATGATAATGATGATGATGACGATTATGATGAAATAGATGATGACTATTATAACGATAACAATATTGATAGTGATGACGATAGTTATACCATGACAGAGTTGTATTTAATATACTAATGACGTAGACAAAGATATTGGTGATAAAATATTTGATGATAGTCCTGACATTGACGATGGGCATGATGATGGTGAAGATGATGACGATGATGATGATGATGATGAAAATGATAGAAACATTGATAATGATAATGACAGTGATACCGTGACAAAGTTTCTTTTCATAATGATGACGTATATGACAGGGTCAGGGATAAAATAGATGATGATAGTTAAGATATGGCCGATTGGCGTGATGATGATGTTGACGTTGTTGGTAGTAGTAATGAATAATGATGGCAATGATGATGATGGTGTTTATGAAAATATGTTGATAATTACCATGCAATTTATTAAAATTAGGATTAGGATGATAATGACGTCATCGTCATCATCACCACTATCAGCAGCAGCAGCATCTACAATCTTATCATCATTTCGTATCACTGTTATTTTCAAATTTCATATCATCATCAATGTCGCAATTTAATAGATTACACGGCAGACCCGCATCTCAGACATACTTACACGTCATGTTCACATTTTGTTTTAGATGGCGCTCTTTAAAAAAGTTGTATGGTGCGTTAAGATCTATTTTGGCAAATCAAAGCTATTTTGTCTTGTACACTGTCGCTCATAAAGGTGGAATATTTTAGTTTTACCCCAATTTATGGAATTATTTTAAAAATTATTTAAAAATAATAGATATAGATAATAGTATACATTCTCAGATTTTATTAAATGATAACTTGCCAATGTGTGTTTTG